CCACAGCTGTCAGAGGAACTGCTCACCTCCACCAGGAAGGATTGATGCTACTTGAATATTATATTTGTATGCATTTCCAAATGTCCTTATAAAACGAATATAATAAAGTTTGTGATTTAATGTATAATATGCTGTGTGTTCACTCGTGTACTAAAAACAGTGATTGCACTCTAGTTCGACCTATATGAATAAGCATTAAGGGGACATACATATGAACAGCTAGATGTTCTTTTAATTCAACATATTAAGAGTACATAACTGTGTCCATGAACGCAGCTCAGCTACAGAAGACCACACACCTTGAACCTGTCATTGTCTACATAGATCTTTAGGTTACAACAGGCTACTTGCCTTAAACCCGATTAGGCAACGTGTACAATTATGAGTTTTGTAGGTTATTGAAAATTATCTAACAAGGTATACATGTGGGCAAAAGTGTGACGTTCTATAGCCAAAACTGCTTTGTGTCCATGGGTCTCATACAGTGGTGTTACATTATGGATCAACAAAGTGCACACACTCACTGATAACGTATACATCCGAGTGTCCGATAAAACTGCATACACTTATTCTTTACCCAAAAGTCTTCACAGACCATTCCTACGGATTCTCACGCTTGAGGTCACTTCCTTCCAATTTGGCTGCATGTGTTCATTAAGTGATTTTTCATCAAGTTGTCCATAAATAGTCCATAAAATCCGCACTACCACCGACAGTCTTCTCTGTGCAGCTGGGAGCCAGATGAGGTTTGTAGAAGGTTTAGATTGACCAGTCACCGATCTTAATCTTCCAGTGCAGTGATCAAATACACCAAACATCACACATTTGTTTTTCTTGATTTTTGTACAGTCACCCAACTGTTGCAAGCTTAACTGATTTGAAGTGCTGCGTCTGTCAAAATCGAACCTCGTGAGGAATGTTTCTGCACTTCTTAGAAGTGACAATCTCAAAAATTCAGTAACTATTTTTTTTAAACAATTTTTCTGTAAATATGTACACAAGTACACATTTCCTATCCAGGCGACCATGTCAGAGCAACATAGTAAATCTGATTAGCATAGGTCCTCAAGTCAATTCAGCATTTGGTTTCAAGAAGATAATTCACACATCCTAAAGACGCCCATAATTCAATATATAATCAAAATTTCAAGTGTCAGTCAGAAATGTAAGCCCAATAGCTTAAATATTAATAACAAAATCATATGTATATAATGCACTTGAGGAAGGCATTGTGTAATTTTTTTTTTAAACTCACAATCCTTAATAACAGCACAGTCTGGGTGAAGAAATGTAGCTGAGCTAAAGTCAAACTTGAAACCCTGATTGTAACGATTGAGTGGGGACAGTGATACACAAAGGAAACATCACCGTAATGGTCACATTTTCAGTTAAAAATCTGATTTTTATGAGCGATGAAGGAAGAAGACTAATGATTAATGCTCAGCAGTGACGCCAAGCTCGTCCTCATGTTTAAATTTTAAAAAAAGAAAAAAAGGATATAAATAGCATGCGTGTGAGATGTGTGGTTGGTCGATGACAGACTAAACACAGAAACATCTAAATGTCCATGACTTGGAGTTAGTAATGCGTTATCACTCTAGGCAGCCTTTTTTTTGGCATTTGACTAGACTACACACCCTGATGCTAAAGCTGAGGTTATTTCAGAATTAATTTGTGTCACGTGAATACAGGTTGATAAGTGTTCGATAGTAGCTATCACAGGTTGATAAGTTTGCATAGACCCTTGAACCCCAACCATCACCATTTCAATGACACAATCAATTAAAACTACAACTCGGAGCAGCATACCCAACTTCACCCTTTGTACTGATTTTGGTAGTCATAACAAAGCACGATAAAAGCTGTAATAGTCCACATGATACGGTTACATTCAGTTATATTTTAAAACATTTGTGGCACATAAAATGAGTATTTTTGTTTTTCTCTTAGGGTTTTTGTGAATCTCTTTACAGAATAGCTTGTATCATGCCACCACTACAGCCACCAGTGGCTTAAAATTTAAAGAAAAAAAAAAAAGTCCCGCCCCTCCCCCCCATTTAAAACTAATAATAAATGAGTCGACTATGCCTGCTTTTACAGCATCACAATACACAGCATTAAACTCATACACTTTATTTAAAGGAGTACAAAGAGTGAAATAGGGTATGTATCAGAGACTTACAAAACGCGTGTCTGAGAGGAGACATATCCACATGTAAACATATGCTGTGTGTGGTTTTGCTCTTTTCTCGGACAGCTAAAAAAAAATAATAATAAAAGCAATAAAATTGTAGGAGCGTACAGTCCTTGGAGAGCAAAGACGTGGGGGAGGGAAGCGAGCGTCCGTCGCGTGAACACACCTTCTTAGCTGGCAATTTTCTCAATTTCATCCAGATCATCCGTGTCCAGTTTTTCAATTTTTTTATCTGCAGAGGAAGAGCACACAGAAGAGAGGGGTTCAGAGAGGGGCTGAGATTTGGCTGGAAGAAGAGCTAAGTACATGTTTTGTTTTTATTTTAAACAGCTGCTTACTGAAGTGCTCCTGGATCCTGTAGAGGATGTTCATGCTCATCTTGCTGTCCACCATATTAATGGCCAGTCCCCTTTTCCCAAATCGACCTGTGCGGCCAATCCTGTGCAGGTATGTCTCGTTGTCAGGGTTACCATCCTTGTCAATTGGCAGGTCGAAGTTGATCACCACAGAAACCTGCTCTACATCAATACCTGTTTGTAAAGAAGATGGGAGGAATAAAGAGTTACTAGAAAACAATGTACATGTGCAGGACACCAATGTTTTAATTTGACTGTAGAAATCCAATTAATTTCATACAGTCTGACATCAAACACATTCACGCTTGCACTGCTGTAAAAAGTGTCTTTGATTTTTATTTATTTATATTGAGCACAGAATGAATGAGTACACGGCACACTCATGAAGCATAAACCTGTCAATCACAAAAAAACCCACCTTAAATCAATCCAATAAAACTATCCACTGAGACTATATCATAACAAAAAGAGTCACATGGTCAGTAACTGACCATTTTGTGCAGGTTTAAAGGCAGTAACACATTGACTCTGGAGGCTATTTCCATCTTTTACATACAGTGTATGATAATCTTTGGCGGTGGATTAAGGCTTCCTCTAAATTGCATGTTAGGCCGTACAGTGTAGAATTTAGAAAAACTGCTGAAAACTGAAATAAGTATGAAAACAATTTCAGGATATTGAGGGCAGAAACTAACCCCAAGCCTTTTTTATAATACCTAGGACAAAAAAAATAAATAAATCTGCAATTCCTTCAAAAATCCATTAATTGCCTCCCTCTGATACAATGGGTCAGAGTGAGTAGATGCAAGTATGGTATCCTGGTGACCTATGGTTATCCTAAGTGGTGAGCCAAATTCATTAAAGCTGATCTCTAGCAGCTTGCATTCAGGCTGAGACAGCTTTTTAAACCAAACTTTACACCTCAAACATATTTTTTTTGCAGCTTACTTTGTAAACCCACATATATATTGTGCTAACGTAACTGCAAAAGTAAAGAAAAAAAAAGTGTTTTCAAATGTAAACAGATAAAACTCATATGACAAACATCTGAACATCATTACCTCGAGCGCAAACATTTGTGGTGACCAGGACCTTCTCCTTTCCATCTCTGAAGCGTTCAATGACTGCAGCCCTCTGCTCCACTTGCATTTCTCCACTAAGCAGCGCTACCTGGTGGCCTTCTCTGGACAGCTCCCCTGCCAGCCAGCCTGCTGTCTTCCTTGTCTGAATTGAACAGAGGAAAGGGTGCGCTTCAGTCAGTTAACCAACATGCCAGGTGTGTATACAAAGAGTCCAAGTATAAAAGGATTTTGAGTTTGGCCCTTCCCTGGTTAAATAAAAAACAGACTATTCTGTATAAGTTAGCTCATGCTGCAGAGCTCTCTTTTCACTTCTGGATTAAAGAGGAACAGCTTGGCAACAAATGATGACAAACAGCAAAAGAATGTGTAAGCTTATGTAAGAAGAAATAAAATTCAGCCAGAGTCGCTGTTTTTTTTAAATTAAAGATCAACTCACATGGCAGAAGATCATGGCCTGAGCGATGGTGATGGCGCCGTAGATGTTAGAGAGAGCCTGGAATTTTTCTTCTTTGCTGTTACACAACACATAGTACTGTTTAATGGTGTCCAGTGTTTCCTCCTCTCTCTTCAGCTTGATTATGTTGGGATCAGGCACAATGCGCTGAGCAAAGTTCCACACCGACTCCTCAAATGTGGCTGAGAACAGCAACATCTGGCAGTTTTTGGGCAGCATCCTGTGTGGCAAAGAAATGAGGCATGAAACATGCACAATTTTAGTATTTTTAAAAAGCCACATGGTTCTCAAGTCTTATTTTAATTTGCTTCGGCTGACCTCTGGATGCGTATACTCTGGTCCTGGTGACCCTGCGTGGCGATCATAACATCAGCCTCGTCAAGCACAAACACCTTAATTTTCTTGGGATCAATAAACTTGAATTTACTGCACCAGTCCAACATGGTACCAGGTGTGCCAATAACTATCTGTTCCTGCAGTTTCATGCCCCGCTGCACTGGAAAAAAAAGACAGACGTGCTCATACACGCACAAAAGGTTCTAACAACAATTCGGTACATAACAGTACACATGCAGCACAGCAGAAAGCACAAGCGCCTTACATTTATTTCCTCTAATGGCGTAGACTAGTTTGACTTCAGGGTAATATTTGCCCATCTGTTCAATCACTTTGCCAGTCTGAAGCGCCAGCTCATAGGTGGGTGACACGCACAAGCACTGACGACGAGAAAAGAGAGCAAACATTAAACATTAATACTGAGAGAGAACACACGTCCGTCAATGAGAGACAAGAGGAATGTTTTTGTCCAAGACAAGTCATGCTTATCACTTGGATTTCAATGGTGACTTTATAGTACAGTAAAGAAAGTTGACACTCACCTGGGGGTATTTGTTGTTGGGATCAACATGGCTGAGCATAGCCAAAACAAAGGCAGCCGTTTTCCCTGTTCCTGACTGAGACTGAGCAATCAGATTCTGTGGACTACAGGAAACAGGAAATTAGATGTACGGGCGGTAATAAATATGATGGATATCAGAATGTTATTCAGGGTTAAGTGATTCAGTAAGTCTAATGTCTTCATATCATTATTTAAAGGACACTCACGGTTCAGCCAGCATCATCGGTAAGGCAGTTTCCTGGATTTTTGATGGCCGATTGAAACCCATACCATACACTCCCTGAAGCAGCTGTGGTTTACTGTACAGAGAGAAAAAAATAAAATAAATGCAAGGATTGTGAAGCATCAGTCACAATCAGTCTGTGTAAACTCACCGTGGTGAAGATGGGCATAAAAGAGACACCACAACTAGAGATGCACCGATTCACCAGCCGGGTACTGGAATCAGCCCGGACCAGTGACCGGCTGATCAGCCTCCTGTTTGACCGATTATGACCCAGCCTGTTTCATGCAGCGCGGACAGTCGCGCATGACACTCACGACACGTGCTACGGTGTTAGTGTGGAAGTGAGTGAAGACAAAGTTCTGAGGTAAAGTGTGGGCAAAAACTTCCCTAAAAACAGGGCTACAGCTGAAGCTATCCAGTTCTCAGAGCACCAGCAGCCTCTAATGAGCAAAGGATCAACGTAGTTAAGAGGTGAATTATGGAGATAAGTGAGAAAAATAAAAGGGTCTGTGTCACATTATCTGGCGACATTATAAACACAGGGGTAAATACCTGACAGTAGCTCTATTATATAAATCAGTTGCACCTGGTTTTGTTTGGTAAAAAAAACAACAACTTATTTTCAGTTATTTTATCCTCTTTCCAGTATCAGAGGACTTTCCTTTCAGTTATTTCAGATGAGAAACCTACTGAAATAGTACCTAAAAAAAATACTATTTTGAAGTGATGAATACTTGTATGTGCGGTCAGTTTTAGCTCTCAGAAAGAAAACTGGAATCTGCAAAAACAGGCAGGTCACACTTAAAGAGAAAAGTGAGAAATCTGAATCAGCCAAACAGACTGGTGCATCGGTGCATCTTTAAACACAGGTCCTTGCTGGGAACTCTCAACAGATACATGTGTCAATACTGTTAAACATGACATATTAAGTGATTAGGCTACCGAGACAGACAAACAGATCTCACTCACAGCCTTAATTCTTCAAAAGACTTGACGGAGTAAAGCGGAGAGTTCGGATCCTTCTGAAGAACTTCCACTTGATTTGTTGTATTGACCAGATTATTTCGAATCAGTTTGTTTAACAAAGACTGTGCCCCTACGTCCTCTGAAACAACAAGATAGGGGAGATGTCTCTTTTAGAACAAGAGCCAACCAAGCATCCAACTAAAAGACAATAATGAATGCACACATATTTTCAACACATGTAGATAATTTACCGCATACCAATTTCGTCATCATCTGCCGCCTTCTCTCCTTCTGACTTTGCAGGTGCTGAGTCTTTTGCGTTTGCGTTTGCGGTCGTGCCTGCAATAAATAATGCCAATATGTACATGCTTGGGTTTCCTTGTTTTATGGATACTGGCTCTTACCCCAATTCAGCTGCACATGGATGCTTACCATTTTCTTCTGGCTTCTCTTTTAATTGAAGTTTTCCCATCTGCGAGGAAGAACAAAATAAACTGAGTTCGTCTGGGGCTAAATAATTAGTCTGACTTTTCCAAAGCCCCCCTCCTTCATATGCCGGTTAGCCAGTTAGCTGCTAAAGCTATCAAACCGCTGAGCACGCAGCAGCTCTTCACGAGCTAATTCAACTTAGCTCTGACGCCAAGCCGGTAGTTTCGTTTTCGACCTAATGAAACTCTACAGAGACGGGCGTCACCGGGAGCCACTTTATTCACTGATGGCGCTCTCACTGAATAATTTCAGCTGTCCACGTTAAAAACAGACTACCGAATTTCTTCAACAGTGTGCCAGACCAGGCCAAAGCATTTACCAAGCAGGCTAACAACAGGTTAGCCCGTGTTGCGTAAGTTAAGCCTTACCGAGTCCAACGCAGCTTCTTGCTTGTCCACTGCCTCAGCCCAGGAGTCCGTAGCCATTGTGGGACAGTTTCTTCTTCAGTTATTATACTCGGGGAAGTCAACTAGGAATTCTAGCTCAGGCTTAAGAGTCAATAATGTGTAAGTAACTATTTTCCACAATGGCGTGCAGAACCTGAATCTGGACACATGCGCAACTGATTACGTCACCGGGTACAACACAAGCTCCAAGAAATAATAGTTCCCAGCTTCCTGAAATTTCATACACACCTCACTAAAGCCTCAGCTATGACGGGCTCTCATAGTTAAAATGCGAAGAAAAAACATTAAATGTTGGGAATAAAAAAAAGTCATGAACTCTTGTTGAAAATCAGATGATTGGAATCGGATTTGCTAAAAGAAAAAAAAGAAAATCACTATACTCTTCTTAGCCTCTAGAGGGTGCCACACTGCTCTCTATAGGCCCACAGCTACTATGTATTCACAGTAGGCCTTGTATGCAACATCCTTATCTGTGTGAAAAATGACATTCTCAGGTAAAATATTCTTTGGTTAGCTTTATAAAGGTTAGGTCGACGTCACGATGGGGTTAGATTAAGGTCAGACTCAGGGTGCGTGCTGTTCAATTAAATGCATTATTAAGGAAAGTGGGTGTGTTTGTTTGTGAAGTTTACCAGACTTTACCAGCCTCCTCTGCCCAAGTTGCTCTTGAGAGACGTGCGCCTTCTTTTCTTTTAGACAGTTTTTAGCTTTCAATCACAGTTGGGTTCAGCTTAGGCAACACAAGTATTTGGTTAGGTGGAGGAAAAGATCATGGATTAAAATGCCTTAAAAACTTACCCAAATCTTAGACAGCCTTACAGAAAAACATGTAAAGCTAACTTTGTCCCATCTCTGTTCACTGGATTTCCAGTCTCATTGCATGTTGAATAATCCAAAATTAATGGGGCCTATAGACTGTATATAAAATATAGACATAGCTTCAAGACACTTTTCAAGGTTGGAAAGGTGAAAACTGTAGCCTGTCTGGAGGCCATCATAAGGCAAAAGCTGTGGCTGCACAAAGACTTCTGGATCTCCAGAAAGGTATGTGTGCGGTTTTCTAAGATGGTGACTTTGAAATGCTAATCTTCAATACGAGACTTAAGAAACCAACGGAGGACATCATGGTAGCTACTTTGACTTTGCTTCCAGGTCTGAACTTCCATTCTTTTGAAAGCCTACAGGGGCTGAAACGTCCAATATCTTGCAAAAACTTCCAGTTACACAGATGTGTATGAGAAAATATCAAATCACTACTTTCAAGTCATATTTGAATAACTTATGAAGTTAATTGTAGTTAGAATCACAAATGCGGTTTTGTCCAAAGTATGCTCATCTGCTAACAAATTGATAGTCACAAGTCATTGAGCCAATGAGCATTCAGTGTACTGATGGGAATAATAGGAAAATAGCCAAGTGACCAACTGAGCACAGCTGGAAATTTTCTTTTTGTATGGTGGCTGGAAACCTCACTATTATTCAGAAGGAAACTGCTACTTGGCTGGGAAGCAAGATTAGTAACATTTATGAGCCTTAATTGTGATATTTTAATGACTAATGTTGGCTTGGGGAAATTAAATAAATAGAATTAAAAAAGACAAAGTGAAAGCAGTAAAAATTAATAAACAGGCAAGCCCTATATGTGTTTTTCAGTACCGTCATAATCTCTGTGGCCACATCCTAAAGTACATCTTAAGAATTTTTTAAACTGACAATTGAGATGAATAACCTTTTAGAATGATGTTTAAACTAAATTGAGAGTTAACTTCTGTTCAAACTGACTTGTTTCTGCAGCCTAAAGTCTCCATATAGTGGAGTTGCCCCTGCTACTCAGTAGAGAAAATGCCGTTTTTAGACTTAAACGATCATTAGTTATATTAGTGATTTTAGTGCTGTAAATCATGCATGCATATGTCAATATACCTGCTGTGGTTTGCTAATAAATATAGACATTCTCTTCCAAATTAGTGTCCGAGTGATTTTAAAATTCTAAAATACCGCTACCATCTATACTGCAGACTTCTCCCACAATTCCACCCAGTGCTTCCTGCAGAAGTTCTCTGATGACTCTGCAATAGTCGGCCTCATCACTGATGGGGACGACAGGGACTACAGAGGACTGACCCAAGACTTTGTGGACTGGTGCCAGCTGAACTACCTCCAGATCAACGCCAGTAAAACCAAGGAACTGGTGGTAGACTTCCGCAGGCACAAGCATTCCCCACTTCAACCACTGAACATCCAAGGTATGGACATTGAGGCTGTGGACAGCTACAGGTACCTTGGTGTTCATCTGAACAACAGACTGGACTGGACTCATAACTACAGGAAAGGGCAGAGCAGGCTGTACCTGCTGCGGAGACTCAGGTCATTTGGAGTGGAGGGCCCACTCCTGAAGACCTTCTATGACTCTGTTGTGGCTTCTGCTATCTTTTATGGTGTGGTCTGCTGGGGCGGCAGCATCTCTGCTGGGGACAGGAAGAGACTGAACAGGGTGATCCGAAGGGCCAGCCCTGTTCTTGGATGCCCTCTGGACCCAGTGGAGGTGGTGAGTGACAGGAGAATGGTGGCTAAGCTGTCATCCCTGTTGGACAACATCTCCCACCCCATGCAGCAGACTGTGACAGCACTGAGCAGCTCCTTCAGTGGGAGAATGCGGCACCCACGGTGTGGGACGGAGAGATTTCGCAGGTCTTTCCTCCCCACTGCTGTCAGACTCCATAATAAAAACTTTAACTGATCAAACACACACATCCATACATATGCAATAATACTAAGTGCAATAATCCTTTCTGTCATCGTTGTATTTTTACTCAGTTGTATATAGCATTTGTATTTGTATTCTATTTTTATCTTATTGTATATTTATTTTATTTTATTCCACTGTATATAGTATTTTATTTATTCTATTCTGTACAGTTGTGTACTGTATTTATTCTTATTGTATCCTAATTTTTGCCTCATAACTTTTGCACTGTCCACTTCCTGCTGTGACAAAACAAATTTCCCACGTGTGGGACTAATAAAGGTTATCTTATCTTATCTTATCTTATCTTATCTTATCTTATCTTATCTTATCTTATCTTATCTTATCATCTCCACTGATTTCACTTTGGTGTATCAAAACCGAGTCCAGGGTTGTTATTGACAGCCTCACTGAAGTAATCAAAGAGAAAGCCCCAGATACCAAGACCACCAAATTAAAAACCTCAGAAGTATGAATGAGCCTCTGCTGTGGTGCAGTGACTGTACCAGTATCATTAAAGAGGAAGAAGCAGTACTGAGTGAGTGAGAGAGACTGGATTCCAAGATTAAACAAAATCCCTTTGAAAGTTTAAATCACTGCATTTCACAAGTTTCTGTGCAATTCAAATTCCCAAAAAGTTGGCACACTGTGTAGAATTTAAATAAAAACAAAAAGCGATGATTTGTAAAATCTCATAAGGCCAATTTTTATTCACAGTAGAACAAGAACACAAATAAAATGTTTTAACTGAGAAAATGTACAATCTTCTTTCTGTTTTTTTCCATTTTGGAAAAAAAATTAGGACAGGGCAATGTTCACAACTTAGTAGCATCAACAACAGTCTGAAATGTCTGCGAACTGAGGAGTCCATCTGCTGGACCTTTGAAAGATGAATTGACTGCAGGCCGGCCAGTTCAGCAAATCCTTCCTTAAAACAATGTCGTCAGGATGGGAGCAGATGTTACTCTAAAATCTGCATATATCTTTTAGGAATGATGGTGTCTTTCCAGATGTGCTAGTTCTATAGGCACTAATGTACCCCCATACAATCAGAGATGCAGCTTTTGAACTTGGACTTAATAAGCTGGATGTGGTCTCTCCCCTTTAGTTCAGAGATTCAGCGCTGGTGTTTTTCAAAAATAATTTTAAATTTTCTTTCATCTGCCCACATAATAGTTTTCCTCTTTATCTCAGTGTATTTTAAATGAGATTTGGCCAAGGACCATATTGGATCATACTCACTTACAACTACGTCTTTGCATGTAGAATCTTTAACCTTCATTTGTGGATGGAGCTGAGCACAGTTCACCAACTGTGCTCACGACTAAGATTTCTGGAAGTGTTCCTGAGCCAGTGCAGTGATTTCCATGACCGATTCATGCCTGTTTTTAATGCAGTGCCACCCAAGAGCCTGAAGATCAGGCATCCAGTGTTGACTTTCGACCTTGTCCCGTGCACACAGAGATTTCTTCACATTTGATAATGATATGAAATGAAAATGACGAGATATTCAAAGTCCTTGCAATGTTACATTGAATAGACATATTTATGAACTTTTTCCATAATTTCAATTTGCGTGTCTCCATAGTGTGGTGCTTTACACATTTACCTAACAAGCAAAAGATCCCTTAATCAGTCCCACGAGGAGACGCAACTCCGTTTGGGAAGGACATCTAGCATAAAAATCTGCCAACTCAAACATATGGAGCTACCTGCTGCATAGACCCCTTGTGAATAAGAAAGCAGCCAAAAGTAGCTCTACCATAATTTGTAGATGCAGATTGGTGAACCTCTGCAAATCTTTACATCTGAAAGTAAAGATGTATACACCCAGTCACATTACAGACTTAGACTTACTCAAAGTGTGCATTTTCACAGCTTGAACATTTGATGTTTTCTATGCTCTTCTGTGAAGAAAATCTGGGTTTGTGAGATTTTTCAAATCAACTGCGTCCCAAATTTTTTACCCCTCAGCCCTAAAGAGCTGGCATGGTTGGTGTGGACACCTGAGTTTGTCAATGTGATAACTCAAGAACGAGGCAACGTAGGAGCTTCAAATTGAAAAAATCATGGATGAGTTTGAATCTCAGTGAAGTCGATCTCAAGGTTAGGGTCAAAGGTAAAGTTTTATGCAAACAACTCTAGAAGGAAGTCAACCAAGATTTTCAAATTGATACCATAGGCACAACTATTAAAAATCTCAGAGGAGTTTGGATCTCAGTAACCTCAAGATCAGAGTAAGTAAGTCTGAAAATCTTGTGATAACTTGAGAATAAGGTGACCTAGGACTAAGTGTCTCGACTAGGAGACGGAGTGGAAGCACTGGGGGTTGCCAGCATTTCTGGAACTGGCATTAACCAAAGCCTCTAAACTAGATTTGTTTAAAGTAGCAGGAACACAGTGAAGTGAAAGTGAGTCACTCAGTAAATCT